CACACACACACACACACACACACACACACACACACACACACACACACCAGCTAAAATTTGCTGACTTACTTGGCTAAGTTTTCCCTCTACACTTAGAAGTTGTTTTTATATATATATATGTATGTGTGTGTGTATGTATGTATATGTGCATATACACATGTATACATACACACACACATATATATGTGTATATACATACACATACATATATGACCCAGTAATTCTCATTTGTTAACTCTGAGTCCTCAGGCAGAACTGGCCTGGTAAGTATACCAAAATGTAAGATCTGTTTCTCTCTCATTCTGGGCATTCCCCATTGTCTCTCTCTGTCAGTGATACATACGGGTTAACAATGCAGTAGTCAACCACACTGATAATACATAAAAACAGAAGAGAAAAAAAAATCAGAAAAGCTAAAGAAACTCTCAGGAAACAGACACATGGCTCGAGGATGGCAGGAAAAGAAAGGGAAGGGAATAAGCATTTTTTTTTTTTTGGTGGAGCAGTCAGGGCTAAGTGACTTGCCCAGAGTCACATGGATAGTAAATGTCAAGTGTCTGAGGCCAGATTTGAACTCAGGTCCTACTGATTCCAAGGGTTGAGCTCTATCCACTGAGCCATCTAGCTGCTTGGAATAAGCATTTCTTAAGCTCCCATTGTGTGCCAGGCTCTGTGCTAACTGCTTTTCCGAGTAACCTCTCATTTAAGAGAATGGAAGAGAAAGAGAGGCGTGGGGGAATTGCCAACTCTGGTCTCAGAAGCCCGAAAATGGTGCAGATATGTCTGTTCCATGTTTCCTGTTCATGGTTTGATCCCATAACCCCCATCCTGGAATCTGGCACTAAGAATTTCTGGCTGGCAGGCTTCCGTGAAGTTCCCGTAGGTACTTCCCCTGGTTCCCAGTACAGCTGCTAGATAAGCCGGCTGCCTCTTCATACCTGCCAAGGTGCTGGCACTCTCTAGCCTGGGTGATGTTTCCCCACAGCTTCAGCTGTTCCCACCATCCCTTAGGAGGGGAGGGGCTGACTTGTCAGAGTCTGGGCCAGGTCAGCCACCATGGGGATTAGAATGGAACCCCCAGGTGATTTCTTTGTCTGGTTTAGCAGGCATCCATATCTCCTTGGCAACTCAAAGGATGCTGCACCAGTCTTTCTCTTAGATTGTAAATTCCTTGAGGGCAAAAATAGCCACTGGGCACAACCCCTTGAACAGAGGAGGCACTAAATGGTGTCTGGTGAAGTGAATGAGGGGCATAAGGAGTGACCAGCCTCCTGGTCAATGCCTCTGTGGTCTGATAGCCTAACTTGGGATTCTTGCAGGGTGGGGGCAGCTCTATCTACATCCTGGAGCAGGAAAAGGAAGTTGCCCAGCAGATCCAAAGCCTTTTCCCCAATTTCACCCATGTCCCCATTTATAATGATGAGGCTGACCCGCTGGTAGGCTGGTCCCAGCCCCAGATCTGGAGAGCAGATGTGACCTATGCAGCGATGGTTGTGAAGGTAAGTTCCCCTTTGCCTTCCAGGCTTTCTGTCTTTGTTGAACCAAGATACTTCTCTAAAGCATGTCATGGATGTACATACTTGTTCACTTCAATGTGGCCAGCACTGGGTGCTGAAAAATCCAGGTGAAAAGTACAAAGAAGGTGGGAGGGACAGAAAGAGAAGCAGAGTTGAGGGAGAGATAGAGAGGAGGGGAAGAGGGAAGAGGAGAGATAGAGAGAAAGAAAGAATCAAGAATTTATTAAGCATCTACTATGTGCCAGGCACTATGCTAAGTGTTTTACAAATATCTGATTTAATCCTCACAGCAATCCTGGGAGGTGGGTGCTATTATGATCACTATTTCACAATTGAGGAAACTGAGGCAGGAAGAAGTGAAGTGACTTGGGACACACAACTGGCAAGTATCTGAGGCCAGATTTGAGCTTATCTTCTTGACTCCAAGCCCAGCACTCTAACCACTGGGCCACTTGGTTGCTCCTAGGTTGAAGGGGAGAAAGAGGGAGAGGAGAGGGAAAGTGGACACCCACAAACACACCCACACACACACACACACACACAGACAAAGACAGAGTGATAGAGAGGGAGAAAGAGAGAGAATAGGAAAGAGTGAGAAGGGAGAGCGAGATATAGCAAAAAGAGACAGAGAAGTGACGCTGGCAAAGAGGCGATAGAGAAAGAAAGAAACTGGAAAAGGCTCTGGGCTAAGTCAGGAGACCTGGGATCTGTCCTGGTTCTGACACTAACTAATATGACCTTGGGGAAGTTTTTTTTTCCTCTCCCTGAGCCTCAGTTTCCCCCACTTTAAAATGAAGGGACTAGATTAAATGCTCTCTGGAGTCTTTTCTAGCTCAGATGCTCTGTGGCTCTCTGGGGCTTGAGAAGGGGGATAGAATCACCTACTGGTGGGGCACCCAGTGGTGAGTGGGGAGTTCCATCTGTTCCAGGCTACCCCTCCTTCTAGGTCATAGCCCAGCATCAGACCCTGTTGCTGTCAGAGCCCAACAACACCCTGAACTATACCCTGCTGAGCAATGATAATGCCTTCCTGAGCTACCACCCACACTACTTTACCCAGAGGACACTGACCGCCCGCTTCCAGATGAACAACACAAAGCCACCCCATGTGCACCTAGTCCGAAAGCCCGTGCTCACTGCCATGGGGCTGCTGGCCCTGCTGGGTAAGGTGCATTGAACCCTGCAGATCCTGGGCAGGAGGCTGCCCAGCGCAGGCCGCCGCTCTCTCCTGCCCATCTCTCTGTTTCCCTCTGGTGTACTTCTGCCCCTTGGCCCCTCTCATCATCATTGTCTAACTGCCCATCATCCCTTCAGACTCTTCTTTTTCTTGGGCTTTCTCCCTTCCCTCGTCCCCTCTCTCTCATATCTGTCTGTTTCTCAATTCTGATTGTCACCCTCTGTCTCTTCCCCTTTGTCTTTCCTGCTCCTTGCCTTCTCTCTCCCTTTTCCCTTTCTTTCCCTCTCTGTCTCCCTCTTTCCTTATCTCTTTTTTTTGTCTTTTTCCTTTCTCATCTCTCTCTCCTGTCTTCTTCCTCACTTCTCTGCCTTTCTCAATTTTCTCTCCTTTTGTTTCTGTCTCTTCCTCTCTCTTTCTGTCTCTGTCTCTGACATATTCTTTATTTCTCTTCCCCCACCTTCTGCCCCCCCCATCTCTTTTGTTTTTCCTTGCTCCTCTCTTTCCCTCTCCATCTCTGCTGGGGGCTGAACAGACTCTCCCTGGAGAAGGGGTAGGGAGTGAAAGAGGATCTAGCATGGCCCATGCTTAGCCTAAAGGAATGAAATTCTGAATGTGGAGGGAATCATGGGAGGAAGGGCTTTCCTGGGGCCCCTCCCTTCACACCCCATTGATAGGTAGCCTCTTCCATGTATTGAAGCAGGAGCCAGTCCTAACACACAAGTGCTGGTCTGGTGTCTTGGACTTACAGGTGAAAACCAGTTGTGGGCGGAGGCTCACTGTGACGGGCTACTAGTGGACAGCAATCACACAGTGGGAGTACTAGCCACCTCCCACTGGCCTGAGGAGGCGTCTTCACCAGACAGCTGGCAGGCCACAGTGCTGGTATTTGCCAGTGATGACAATCGGACATCTGCCAACCTCAGTACTGTCACCATCTGGCTCAACAATGTCCCACCAGCTACAGGTGAGAGCCTGGGGCCAGAAGAGATTTGGGTGAGCTTCAAACCCCACTTCGTCCTTCTCTCTCTTTCTGTTCAAGAAACTTCTGTGGATCCCCGTCATGTATGGGATAAAGCCAGGGTGCCTTTGTCTGACACTCAAGTAAATGTTGTGGTATATTAGAAAGATTCCAGGCTAGGTTCCAGTCCCAACTGTGACATGTCTTAGTCATGTGACACTGGGCAAGTCATTTGCCATCTTTGGGCCTCAGTTTCTTTAAAATGAGGATAATCCTTTTACCGCCTGCTTTACAGGTCTGTGGTGCAAAAGCACTTTGTAAAATGTATAGTACTGTGGACATGAGAACAATTCCTAGGATTATTTAAGGCCCTCTTACCTTCAGCCTCATGGGACTTCTATCTCTAGCTCTAGTCTATGAGCCTGTAACTCTACCCCACCCCACTTTGACTACCATATGAACCTTCTTCAGCTTAGCTAGTCTCATCACTGCTTCTCACATAAACCTGTCCTCCTCTCTTAATCCTATCCATCCTTCAGGGCCTTCTCAAAGTCTCACCGATTTGAGGAAGCCTACCTCTCCTTGCTTCAGCCCCAGGTGAGAGCTTCTGCGTTCTCTCTCTGTCTCCCTCTTCCCTTTCTCTCTCTCTCTGTCTCTATCTCTGTCTCTCTCTCTCTCTCGATCTCTCTGTCTTGCTGTCTCTCTCTCTGCCTCTCTGTCTCTCTCTCTGTCTCTCTCTCGGTCTCTCTGTCTCTCTCTCTCTCTCTGTGTCTCTCTTCTCTGTCTCCCTCTTCCCTTTTCTCTCTCTCTGTTTCTCCCCTCCCTACCTCAGACTGCCTACAGCAATTTGAGGTATAGAATCATGTTGTTGAGTTGTTTCAGTCATGTCTGATCTTCCATGACCTCATTTGAGGTTTTCTTGGCAAAGATACTGGAGTGGTTTGCCATTTCCTTCTCCCGTTCATTTTACACATGAGGAAATGGAGGCACACAGAGTTAAGTGGCTTGCCCAGGGTCACACAGCTAATAAATGTCTGAGGCCAGATTTGAATTCAGGAAGATGAGTCTTCCTGACTCTCGGACCAGGAATCTATCAACTTCCCCCTCAGAAGGCATCTACTCCAACCCAAATCTGGGGTTTTTTTTTGAGGCAGTTGGGGTTAAGTGACTTGCCCAGGGTCACACAGCTAGTGAATATCATGTGTCTGAAGCCAGATTTGAACTCAGGTCCTCCTGACTCCAAGGCTGGAGCTCTATCCATTGCGCCACCTAGCTTCCCCACTCCAACCCAAATCTGAAGCAAGATTCTCAACACCATTCCTAATGGGAGGACATCCATAAAACCATCTGAAAGCTCTTTGATGGGGGGCTACATCTGGAGGCAGCTCATTTACTTGTGGAAAGCTCAAATTGTGGGAAAGTTTTTTCCTTACCACCAACTGAAATCTGCCTTCTTGTATCTTCTGCCCCAGTGCTCCTAGTTCTACCCTCTGAGACCAAGCAGAGCTAGTCTAAGCTCTCTTCCACATTTAGCCCTTCAGATACTCAATGGCAGGGACCACACCTTCTCCAGAATTATTGGAACCCCCTTGGCCCCACCCCTTTACCTTGCCACCTACTGTGTTTCCAATCTCCAACTGTGACTCACCTTCTACCCAACTCAGCCTCTCCTGTTATTGAATCTTCTGGGATCCATTTCTCTGCCTCTCTCCAGACCTCGTCTACATGACCTACTATATGGACAATAATCTCACCAGCCCTTACCTGGAGTGGAAGAAACTTGGCTCACCTGTCTTCCCCACCATAAAGCAATTTCAGCAGATGAGAGAGACTGAGGTATAGCCTGAGAGATTGGGTGGGGGCGGGTGGGGGCATGGAGAAAACAGGACTGGATGTTGAGAAGGGATGAGGCAACAACATGGGAATAAGAAATGGCAGAAGGGAGAAGAGGAGAGCGGAACAATATTGGGAAAGACAGCGCAAAGGCTCATGGGTGAGGGATGGAAGGAGGGACATGAGGCACTCGGGGATCAAGTGAAGGAGATGAAGGTCCAAGAGGGAAGTGGGGCTAGATCCCAGGTCTGGGGGAGATGGTCAAAGAGATGAAGGATTTATATTTGTCCTTGCTCAGTGAAATGAGTCATAGCATCAGAGCCTGGAGATGTGGATTCCAGTCTCTTCTCTCTGGGCCTCAGTTTCCCTCTCTGTAAAATGAAAGAGTTACATGTTCCCTAAAGGCCCTTTCACTTCTGACATTCCACAGTCCTGTTCCATGCTTCTAAGTAGTTGGAAATGCCATCCAGTTCTGTGTGAGGGGGTTGTTTAATCCCTGTAACCAGCTTCTGATATCGTGTTGTATTTCTTTAGGACGCTGTAGCCGCAGGCCCATTTCCATTTCCTCAAAATGGCCAACTGACCCTAAAGCAGAAGCTTTCAGTACCCTCCATTCTTCTCCTTCATGTGTGTTCGAGGCCACACCTGCCCCCAAACCAGGTACAGCACTGGGATTCCCTGCCCAAAGACGAAGGCACAAAGCCCTACCTAAAACCTCTTCTAGGCAGCCATTAGGGGCTTATCACTTCCCACTCTGTGCAGCAAATATAAGAGTCTGAGGCCCTGGATTCAAATTCCAGTTCAGCTACAAGAAATTGAAGTGACCAGACAACTGTCTTAAAATACCAGCCACCCCAGAAAAGGGAGCCTGTTAAATACCTAAGAAACTGGGGGTCCTGGGGAGCAGTGTGGAAAAGGCCCAGTGGTGAGAATAAGCCAAGTGGGGAAGAATAAGGGAAGGAAAGTGGGAGGAAGCAAGCCTTTCTGGAGCTGAGGGACCTTTTTAGTAGTGAAGTCTGGAAAAGGGGCAGGTTTAAGGGGAAATGGGATAGCTTCCATTTTGGGCATGTTTATGTTGAGATCCTAATGGGACATTCATATATAGATGTCCAGCAGACAACTCACGCTAAAGGCCTGGAGTTCAGGCAAGAGATGGGGTTAGAAATGTAGATTTGGGCATTGTCTGAATACAGATGATCATTGATCATCTTCGTCATTGATGAAGGGAGAGAATGTTAAAAAAGAGTTAATATGAGGGCACAGTGTGGAGCCTTGGAAAAAACCTCTATATCAAGACCAAAAAATGGGTGATGGTCCAGTGAGGTAAACTGATAAGGAGCCATCAACACATAGGGAGGAGGACAATGAGAAGAGAGCAGTGTCATGGAAACCAGGGGGAGTCTGTCTGAGAGAGAAGGGGGAGGTGGGCAGAGGTGAAAGCAGAAGAAATGTGAAGAAGCATGAGGATTGAGAAATTGGGATCGTGGAAGTCCTTGGGAAGGACGGTTGCAGTTGAATGGTGGGGTCAGAAGGCAGATTTCAAAGGGTCGAGGAGAGTGGATAATGATGAGTGACTAAGAAGTGGGCTGTGAAAAGAGAAAAAAATATATAGGGTGATAGCTTGAAAGGATGGCAGGATCAAGTAAGGTTTATTTGTTCATGTTTATTATTTATTTATTTATTTATTTATTTATTTTTAGCATTCTTTTCTTTTTAAATTTTGAGTTCCAACTTCTTTCCCGCCTTCCCACCCCGAGGAGGTGAGCAATATCAATTGTGCATGTGAAATCATGCAAAACATATTTCCGTATTAGCCATATTTTTTTAAAAAATCAAGAATAAAGAAAGTAAGAAAATTATATTTCATTCTGCACTCAGTGTTCATCAGTTCTTTCTCTGGAGGTGAAGAGCATTTTTTTTCATCGTTGAATCCTTTGGAACTGTCTCAGATCATTGTATTGATCAGAGTAGCCAAGTTCAAGTAAGGTGTTTTTTTTTTTGGTTTGTTTTTTTGGTTTTTTTTGGTGAGGCAATTGGGGTTAAGTGACTTGCCCAGAGTCACACAGCTAATAAGTGTTATGTGTCTGAGGTTGGATTTGAACTCAGGTCCTCCTGACTCCGAAGCTGTTGCTCTATCCACCGCGCCACCTACCTGCCCCATCAAGTAAGGTTTTTAAGGTGGGGGGGCAGCTAGGTGGCACAGTGGATAGAGCTCCGGCCTTGGAGTCAAAGGACCTGAGTTCAGATATGGACTCAGACACATAACACTTACTAGCTGTGTGACCCTGGGCAAGTCACTTAGCCCCATTGCCTAACCCCCTCCCAAAAAAATAAAAAGAGAAGGGGAGATCTGGACATTTCTGTCAACCTCAGGAAGGTATCTACCCTCTAGGCAGGGAGATCTAAAGTCTCTTGACCCTTCAGATCCAAATGCGGTGGTCTTTTCAGGGGACTGGGACCCATTGGTGGGAAACTGGCTCTTCACGCTGACGAGGGTTTCTCTCACCTTCCCCCCGGATAGGTGAATGGCGTCCGAATCTTGCCTCTCACAAGAGGGCAGATCGCTCTGCTCTGGGATGATAGCTGCGTGAACTCAAAGTATGTACGTACGGTCATATGAACCACCTTAGGAATGTGGGGTCTCAGAGCCGGGAGGGACCCTAACGGTCTTGGAGTTGAAACGCCTTAATTTTACTGATGAGGAAATTAAAGCCCAGGGTCACTGACTTACTATGATGCTATAGACACAGTCTTTAGATAGGGAGGGGGGCAGCTCAAAGAGAGTATTCTCTGAGAGGATGCACACACCGGCTTCCATTTCTTCTTTCATCATGGGATCATAGAATGTTAGAGCTAGGAGGGACCTTAGATATCACATCTTTCAACCCTCTTTTTTTTTTTTTTTTTTTACAAAGGAGGAAACTGAGGCACAGAGAAGGGAAGGGACTTGGCCGAGATCACACAGCTGGTTAGTGGCAAAGCCAAGAGTATCACCCCCATTGCTGTTTCTGTAGCAAATTCGTGGTTCACAAAGTGATTTCCTCATAACAACCCTGTGAAGTGAGTAGTCTCAACCAATACCATTATCCCCCTTTTACAGATGAGAAAATTGAGGCTTATAAGCGAGAAATAGCCTGGGGTCACATAGCCGAAAGATGTCGAGAGAGACCCAATCAGAGATTGTGCCGGAGCCAGCTCAAACCAATACCGAGAGCTGATTGTTAAATTTTCAGGGTGAGCATTTACGCCTTGGAAATTAATTGGTGAATGCTACACACAGGCCTTGATTTATAGTTTTGTTGACTATCTAGACTTAAGAAAGTGAGAAAGAAAATATTAATAATGCAAATTAAATTTGAAAGTATGTTGTACTTCATTTTTTTTTTTTTCAGAGAGCCAGTTGCTAAAACATTTACCATCACACCCCTGACCCAAACTCCTGTCTCTTGACTCCTGGCCTAGGGCGCTTTCCTCTAGAGGCATCAGTGGAGAGAGATTTGGATGGGAAACCAAGGAGACGTAGATTCAGGTCCCAATTCTGACACTCAGTAGAGTGCCAAGTCGTAGGATTGTGCAATAGACTGGGCGAGTGTATTTCAGACTTTAGACTTACTTCTGGAAGGCTCATAGAATCGCGGAGCTGAAAGGGACTTAGAGATTGTTTGGCTTCGACGTCCTTACAGCCCTAAGACGGGGAATCAGAGCCCCAGGGAAGAAAAGTGTCTTGTTGAAGATCGTACAGCTATTAAATATCAAGAGCTGTGAGCCCCACCTCCTTCGCTCTTTATACACTGTTCCTCTGTATGCCCGAAGTGAATCACCATTGGCATTTCCTCCACCAGCTACCCTTCAGTTCCCCAGTCCAGTTAAGTTAGCCTGCCTGCCGCTGTTACCTGGTCCCTACGACCCGACAGAATTGGCCAGCCTCCAACCTGAGCCCCCTGTAGGCCCAAGGCCCCAGTAACCTTTTTTCTCCCGTTTATACTGGCTCAGAGACCAAAAGTGAGTCCTTGAATTTCCAAGCTAAGACTCTTTCCATTATACGACACTGCCCTCTTCTGTCCTATTGCAAGGTCAGTCACTGGAGTAACATCCAGTAATTTTGAGAGGGAGGGAAGGTGAGCTGGGGAGAGCATTCATATTGCAAGTAACGACTGAGCTGAGCCTTGACTGAAGCTGCAAAAGCTGAATAAGACATGAGAAGGCGGAGTTTTTCAGTGTTTCGGGTAGGAAATGGGACGTCACATATAGGGAAATTCAGTTAGGCCAATCTGGCTGGAGTGAGAGTATGTGAGGGGAAGTCATGTGAAATTAGTCTAAAGAGGGAGGCTGGAAATGGATTTCAAAGGGCTTTAAATGCTCAACTGTAGAGTCTGTGTCTCAGAGTGAGGGGATTGAATTATACTCCAATTCTCCCCTTCTTTCCTTGATTTGCCCCTTACTTTGGTCTGTGACTCAGTAGAATCGGCTGTCAGCCCTAGTCCATGAAACCATGGACTGAATCTTCATCCTGACCCTGATCTTAGTCCTAACCTTGTTATACTACCAAGTGGTACATCACTGAGTCCAGTCAAAAGGCCGCACTTGAGGACCTAGAGGGCCACAGTTCAAAGTCGCAGGTTCCCCACTCCTGCGACCTAATGCTGACCCTAATCTTGACCCAAACCCCAAAGGACAAAACTCATAGAAGCAACAAAGAATTGTGGAGAGATGAATTTGGGCTCTATGATATTTCCTTGCTCACGAGACTTCTGTGGCTCCCGACTGCCTCTTAGAATAAAATATAAAGTCATCATCTTGGCATGTGCATTTCTTTGCAGTCTGACTTGAGCCTGTCTTTCCAGATTTATTTACACATTCTTCCCTTTCATGCACATCTCATTCCAACCATATTGGCTGATGTATTATTGTCTCCTGTATATGACATTCCATCTCTCACCTTCAGGTCTTGGCCTATGCCTGGGATTTGTGTCGTCTTTGCCAACCCTTAGAATAACCTTAGCTTTTTTCCAGGTGCTGCTTAGATTCTGCCACATAACTACAGAAAGCCTTTTTTTATGTTCCTCGCTGTTAATGTTCACCCCTCTCCCCCGGTTGTATTGTATTTCTTTATCCTTTTAACTGTTATATTCCCCCAGATTTTCATAAGCTCTTTGAGGGCAGATTCTATTTTTGGTTCATAGTTGCGTCTCATAAGCCTTGGACAGACTAGGTACTTTTAAAATGTTTACTGAAATAGGTTGATGAATGAGAAAACCTTCTAACAATTAGGGATGTTCAAAAGTAGAGTGGGCTGAAGAGATGAGAGGTCCTCGTCACTGAAAGTGTTTGAGAAGAGGCTGGATGTTTACTTGTTGGCACACATTCTTCTTGTCCCAAGAAGGGATCCTTGGTCAGATATGTGATGTACTCTGAGGCAGTTAGATGGCACAGTGGATAGAGTGCAGGGCCTGGCATCAGAAAGATTATTCTTCCAGAATTCAAATCCAGCTGCAGACACTTACTAGCTATAAGACCCTTGAGAAGTCACTTCACCCTGTTTGCCTCAATTTCCTCATCTGTAAAATGAGCCGGAGAAGGAAATGGCAAACCACTCCAGTTATCTTTTCCACCAGAACCGAAATGGCATCACGAAGAGTCAGACATGGCTGATAAACCACGGAACAAATGGGATGTGCTAAATGGTCTTGGGTGCCTTCCAACTGAGACTCTGAGCCTGACTGAAACTGGAGGGTCTCAAGGCCCATAGCTATTCTCCCTTTGCTCCCCCACAGGTGTCTGAGGACATATGAAGTTGAATTCTCCCAACATGGATATATTTACAGAGGGATCAACAGGAAGGAGTCAACTTTCAACCTTTTTGTCTTTGCTCCAGGTAAGGCCTCAGTGCCCTGGGATGCTTGCTTCTCCTTCCCCTCACGCCATCCGCAGACCAACCTTGTGATCCCTTCCCAGGCTGTTCCCTTTGGCCCCCTCTCCTCCCTTCCAAGACTTCCCACCCCCACCCCTAGTCTCTCTTTCCCTGAGATTTTCACAGCCGTAGTGTCCAAACTCCTTTCATTCCTATACAGACGATGCCAATGTCACTGGCTTCTACCGGCTCCGTGCTGTGGATTACTGGGGCCAGCCAGGCCCCTTCTCTGTCCCGGTTTACTACAAAGAGACAACTGCATGAGGTGGGCAATGATCTGGTGAGACAATCCTCCGCTGGAGACCTGCACAGGCTGGGGATCCTGGGATTGATGCTCCTTGAGGGGAGACACCCACGGTGCCAAGGACTTGAAGTGAACCTAAAATCAGAGGAACCAGGCTAGAATGCTAGCTTTCATCCTTTACAGCTGTGTGAGCTTGGGCACATCTCCTTAGGCCTCAGTTTTCTCATCTATAAAGTAGGGACAATAGTATTTGCGCAACTGACCTCATGAAGTAATTTTCAGGAAAGGGCTTTGTCAATCTCACAATTAATATTCTATCAGCCATCAAGTAGAGATGTCTTTTCTTCCTTGAGGGTCCAATGAAAAGACATCCAGAAACTTGCTTCCTAGCAATCATCTTAATAATCACTGTCATCAGAACTCCTGTTTCTGTGGCCCTGTAACATTGGCAAAACACTTTCCCCGTAACAGTCATAAGAGGTGGGTGGTACAAGAATTATTATATTGATTTACAGGTGAGGGAACTGAAGCCAAGAGAGGAGGGACTTTGTCCAAGTTGAAGGGCCTCATTGAGTGTCAGAGTCAGGGTCTGAACCCTCCTGGGGAATGGTTGCCGTGGACAAACTGTGGCATATGAAAGTAAAGGAAGATTAATCTTCCACAAAATGGATGGATATAAAGAATTCTAGAGAAATGTGAAACAACTTGTATGACCCCATGCAGAGCAAAGTAAGCAGAATCAGGGGAGCACTATACCCAATGACTCCAAAAATATAAAGGAAAATGGCATTGAAAAGCAGTTCAGGTCTGATTAATTGCATTAATCAATGTTGGTCTCGGAGAACTGATGATGAAATGCTCCTCCTCTTGGCATTGTGCGTGGGGGACCTTATGTGTAGGCTGTGCTGTTTGCTTTGTTATAAGGGGAGATTCAATAAGGGGGGGCATTTTAAGGGGAAATGACTGGTATAAACATCAAAGGAAACAGTATAACTTTGAAAACTTGTTTTTAAAAGCAGGGTTGTGTGAATAGACACAGGAGAGGTAAGAAGCAGTCAGAGGAGAAAACAGGAACACGTGGTCATCTATGGTGTCCAAACCCCAGGAATCACGGCTGCACCCTGATGCTTTCAGAGCCTAGGCAAGAGACTTTAATATTCTTCAACCCGGGGTCAGCTAGATGACACAGTGGATAGAGAATTGATCCTGGAGTCAAGAGGACCTGAGTTCAAATCCTGCCTTGGACACCTATTAGCTGTGTGACCCTGGGCAAGTCACTTAATCCCAATTGTCTCTTTTAAAAAAAAGCATTCTTCAACCTGCCCCCAAAAAATTCCCAGGAAGACTTCTAGAGGTCAGGCAGCACATAACCTAAACATTTACCGTAAGGGTGGTATTCTTGAAATTACTATGTCCCTTGGGAATGAAAGGGGATTAAAGAGGAATTAGACTGTCATTCCTCTGGCGGTATAGGAGATTGCATTTATTTTGTGTGAGTATAGAGAATGCCCTTACTGATTCCCATCATTGTTATTTATATTGTTTTATGTCTTGATTAAATGCTTTTACTATTGGATTTAGGTCTTTTGTATGGTCTGGCAATAGAGAATAAGTTGGATGGGGGCTCAGGTTATGAGTGGCGAGACTGAGTACCCTAAATAGCCAAATAACCTGGGCAATAGCAAGGGATGCTATGATTGCATATTATAGTATATTTATGTCTTTCCCACTACTAGACTGTGACTTCCATGAGGTCCAGGACCATGTCCCACCTAAACTTTATTATTTTCTTGCCAAATTTAAATTGACCTGCCCACAGTCAGAGGGGGAGGTTGGTCACAGCCTTTCAATGGGAAAATGTTGTGCCCTTATTTTATAGATGAGAAAACTGAAGCTTTCAGAGGAAAAGTGACTTGGTCGAGGCCATGTCTTCCAATTTCCAATCCAAGGCTCTTTCTACTCCATCATGCTGACAAAGCAATGATGATAGAGACAACCAGCTCTGAATGTATCAGCTATTATTGCTTCAGGTTACTTTCCTCATCTGTTTCCTGATCTTATTAAAGTGTGTGTGTGTGTGGGGGGGGCAAATGTGTCATCTGGGGATCAGAGCACAGAGCCCTATTGTTCTGAAGTGTGTCCTTTGCTATTCCTGGAGAAGCTCCTCTTTTAATATCTGAGCCAATCTGATGATTCCTCAATTGCTCTGTTTCCATACTGTTGGGAAGACTGACTGAGACAGACTGGAGTGTACCTAGTCCCCAGTTTGGAAGGGGAAAATTGGGGGGATAGTGGGATGGAAAGAGGTAATGGCAAGAGCCCTGGGCTCAGAAGACCTGGGTTAAGTTGCAATTCTGACATTAACTTGCTGTACAATTGGGGGTAAGTCCTTTTCTCTCTCTGATCCTTAGTTTCATCAATTCTAAAATGGGGAGAGGGGTTAGACTAAATGATCTCTAAGCATCTCTCACCTCTGACCCTGTGTATCTGTCTGTATGCCCATGCTGACAGGATAAGGGAGAATGTCTGATGGCAGCGGCAGGAAGAATGCCCTTCCCATGTAGATGAAGGTACCCTAGGGGGAAATGCCCAAGACCCGAGGTTTTGAGCCTCGTATGGGCATGAGAAGGCAGCAGCTACTGCCAGCAGCTCTAGTGAGGGTGGCAGCCTCTATCCTACCCTGAGGCTTCCTGCAGCACCAGAGAAAAGCAGAGGGCCTGAACCTTTGGGCCAGTGTTCTCTAAATTGGGCCTTCTGCCGATCCTATGTTGGCCATTGACAGGAGAAAGAGCAGCCAGTAAGGCTTTCTGGGTGGTTTTCCTTTTATGTCTGTTACTCTGATGTCCTTGTGCGGTGAGTCTGTTATTCTAATGTCACACTTGCGCTGTGAATTACCCAAGGTCTTGTATGCAGAGAACACTTGAAGCCCTGGGCAGAAGGAGGATGTCCCAAGGTCAGTGACAGCTGAACCCTAACGGCCCCTTTGGGGCCCATTCCTGTTTTCTTGGGTGTGCCTGGGTCAGAGCTCAAAAGACCTTAGTGGAGGGAGTGGGATGGAGAGAGAAATACCTCCTGCAGAGAGTAGAGGGCTCATAATGGTGGGATGTCGGGGAGAAATGTCTTTGCTGGCATGAGGAGGGCAGGCCCAGGGCTGACAGGTTGGCCTTGGAGGAGAGAGAGCCCATAACACCAAGATGGAGGGAAGAGGTCTTCACGGGCAGGGGTGTGTGCACACATGTGCACACACACACACACACACACACACACACACACACACACATACAACATCAAAGAAACATCAGAAGTAGGTTGAGTTTCTCTCTTCTTCACTTCACTGCCCTGGCCTCTGTCCTTTCCCAGCTGGGTGAACTGGGGAAGGAGGAGTGAAGGACAAAGGCCTAGGGGCCAAGAAGCCAGATCTCTCCATAAAACCTCTTTCGCCCTGCTCATCTCCCAGGAAGCCAGATGCCGATCTGCATTTATGTCGGTGTTCGGCCCCCCTCTCTGTCTTTTCAAAAATCGTCATGCTGTTTCTCCACGCATTTATAACTCCAAGGGTGAACAGGAAAATGAAAATTTAATGTGCTTAGAGACCTCAGCACAAGGTATCTCTGGTGGTGACAGAGCTGCAGCGCAGTCCTCAGCAAGCTCCTGTGGGGGGGGGGAGTGAGAGAGAGAGAGAGAGAGAAAGAAAGAACAGTGAGAAATGGCAGAATCGACTGTTCTGACCACAGTGACATGGGCTGCCCAGCTGACACTCTTCACTCTGCATGGGGAGCGTGCAGTGTGTGCCTGGCTGAGCTGTGTTTTAATCAGGTTTGTGTTCAAACGTCTGCAGTGACTCCACAGTAGATGTTACAGATTTTTCCTTTACGGGCATCTGTGCTGTGAGGAGCAGGCTTTCCATCCTCTCTCTTCCAGATGTTTTCAGCAAACAACCCCAAGTATCTTGAATAACCCAGTCCAGCTGGCCAAGAGGAAGATGGGGCTGGGAGGCTGGAGAGGGGGGATGGGGAAGGGTGCTACCCAAGACTCAATGGGAGGTGCTGACACCAGCAGGAGATAAGCTGCCTAAATGCTTCGGGGAGGGGGAGGAGGTTGGGGAGAGGAGGTAGGCAGCAGTGACTCACACTAAGCCAATATGGGATTGGAGACAGATTTGCATGGTACAAGAAGGGATTCCTATGGCCCTCCACCCCCGCTCCCCCAAATCCCAGCTTGTTGTTGAGGACTATGTACAAAAGACTTAAAAACAATGCAAGCGAGTGTGGGAGTTTTAAACCACTCGTGGAGGCTTGTTCCTGTGTGGGTCAGGCTAGAGAGCTGGTCCCACGTAAGGGGATTGGAGGGGGTGGGGGACACGCAGATGCTCTGAGAGAACCAAACTGCAGAGAGCAAGTGAGGTAAGAACTAAGTGACAAAAAGCAGAGGGCGACAGCACCAGCAACACTGCCCCCAAACCTGAGGACAGTGACCAGGGGTGGGAGCAGAGGAGAATCGGCAGAGTGAGAGCTGAGCAACAGGAAGCAATCTGGAGAGATGGCTGCCATCTGCTCAGAGCCTAGGGCAGCTGCAGCCGCAGCAGAGGAGGACCGCAAACAGAAGCACCAGTGATGCTGCATGAGGGCACCCAAAAGGAGGCATCGGGAGCCCTGGAGAGGAGCCCTAAAGGGGAGGAACAAGTCCTGAGCATCAGACCGGAGCCCTCCCCAGGGCTAGACTGTGAATCCTGAGATTAGTCAGCTCTCTGCCAAATGATGGCTCACTGCAGGCATTGTTAACATCTTGGGGAGATGGATGTGAATTCGATAGGTTTCTGTTAAATTATAAATAAGACTGTTCATGCTTGGTGCCCTGTAAACCTATTCCCTTGCAAGGGGAGCCTGTGGCTCTTTAGAGCAACGTCCATCTGGATGGATCAACAAGTCAGACACAAAAAAACATGGAACTTACCTAGTCAAACCTTCTCATTTTGCAGATGAGGAAAGTGAGGAGGCCCTTAGAGCTTATGTGACTTTCCTGAGATCACACAATAAATAGCAGAGCCAGAATTTCAACCTAGGTCGCATGGCATCCAAATCCACCCCTGTTTCTACGAAATCTACTACAAACAGCGAGCTACAACACTCCCAAGTACAGCCTGAACCAGATTAAAATGTAATTGGGAAACATTAAACATAGTAAATGAAGATAAACTATAATATAGATAATGTTAACATGAATTATAATTTATAATATAAATTACATTATAAATATAAGTTAAAATACAAAATAGATCATGTAACATAAGCATAATGTAAGGCAGCCTGTAGGAATCCTTATATACAGTTTAGTGACACTGTTTCTATTTGAGTCTGATATCACTGTACTACTGCACAATACTATATATTAAGGAAGGAAATATGCTTTTATTAAGTACCTACTATGTACCAAGCACTATTCAACCAGACTTAGGTGCTATTATTTTCATCCCCATTTTACAGTTGAGGTAACTGAGACAAGTGCCTTGCCCAGGATTATATAGCTAGTAAGTATCCATAGCTCACATTTGATCTCAGGACTTCTGACTCCAGGCCCAGCACTCTGTGCACTATGTCGCTATCTAGCTGCAGCTAAGAGCTTTAAGGTTTATACTCTTCCTCAACACTGAGAAAATTTTCAAATTTTATTATTAATTATTTATTATATTTAATATATTATTTAATTTAAAATTTTAATTTATTTTAAGATTTTAATTAATTTAAAATTATATAAACATATTTAATATAGTTATAGAATACACAATGATCAAGGATTTATTATTATTATTAAAATATTAATGTTTCCATTGTATGTTTGAGGAGACTGAGGCTCAGAGTCCAAGTTCACACTCCTGTTTTTGTTGGAGTAAAGTTTTGAACCCAGGACTCTTGGTTCAAAAGAAGATGGAGAAAGTGGAAAGTGCCCTCGATTTAGACTAATTCAGATCCTGGGTTCAGATCCAGGCTCTATCACTTACTGCCTGTGAGACTTGGGGTAGTTACTTCTCCTCTCCTCACTTTTCTAATCTGTGAAATGGGGATGACAATAATAATAACTAGCCCTCCTTACCTCTACCCCTTAGCATTCCTAGTTTCCTTCAGAGCCCATTTCCTCCTTGAAGCCTTCTCCAACCCTGCCTCATTCATGTACTCCCCCTCCCCTAATTATCTTGAATTTAGCGATCTGTTTACATGGCTTATGTCTAGAAGGATATAAGTTCCTTGAAGATAGCAGATATTTTTCATTTTGTCCTTTTATCCCTATACTCAGCACAGTGCCTTAAACATAGTAGGAGCTTATAAGTGCTTGTGGAATTGGATTACTGACATCACAGGGTTAACAGGAGAAAAATGCTTTAAGATTCACAAAATGCTATATAAATTGGACTTTTTATTTCTATTATGACATGCTGTCTCAATTCAATTTTTTTTTTGAGGTGAAAGACTATTATTCTACAGATTGGAAAACTGAGGCCTGGAGAGGGGAAAGTTCTTGTCCAAAGTAATAATAGCTAACATTTATATAGCACTTTGCATATGTTATCTCACTGGATAACCCTGTGAAATAGCTACTATTATGATGTTACTCATTTTACATATGAGACAAGCTGAGAGGGGTTAAGTAATTTGTCTAGTCACTTGTATAATGGATAGAGTACTGGGCCTGGGGTCAGGAAAATTCATCTTCCTGAGTTCAAATCTGGCCTCCAGCAGTTACTAGCTGTGTGACCCTGGGTAAGTCACTTAACCCTGTTTGCCTCACTTTCCTCCTACATCAAATTAACTGGAAAGGAAATAGCAAACCACTCCGGTGTCTTTGCCAAGAAAACCCCAAATGGGGTCATGGAGAGTTGCACAGGACTGAAAAACAACTGAACAACACTTGTAAGTACAAAGTGTCTGAGGGAGGATTTGAACTCAGGTCTGACTCCTTTGCAGGGCCTAGATTGTATAGTGAGTCAATGACAGAGCAGGACTAGAACCCAGGTCATGAGGGAAGGGAAATGTGAGTAGAGAAAAGGTTTCCTCTTCCATCTTGCCCTGGCCTCCACGGGGGTCAGCCCTGGGATTCCATTCCGCACCGTTAGTTCCTGTCCTCAGTACTGGCAGAGAAATACACACCTGTCTGAAGAACTGGCTTGAACTGTCCAGACAAGCAGATCTCTTCCTGCTTCTGGCGGACAGTCCTCTGGAGAGCAGGGGGGAGGCCCCGAGGACTTCGGGAGAAGACAATGGAGTAGCCATCGGCACATGTCCCGTCCTCCCTCAAAACCCGGCAGGCATAGGTCAGTGCGTAGTGGTTGTAGTCTGTGTCCACCACCCAATAGTCATCCCCTGGACCCAGAAACAAAGGACAGTTACTTATCTGAGACTCGGGTTTGGTCGCTGGGGAGCTTGGAGCAAAGAAAAGGTGGGGGGAGTAGAAGGGGAGGAAGGGGAGGGGGCATGGGAAGAACCCAGACCCACATTCGAAACAGAAAATAGTACAGCCTAGTGAGGCGTAGACCAAGTAAACCGGAGACTGGGAGCCAGGATGCCTAGGTTCTTTCTGGTCCTGGCTATGTCACTAACTCACTGTCGTGGGCAGGTCATTTGCAGGAGCAGCTCCCAAAGGCAGGTGAGAAGCCCACGATGCTCCCGGAGTGGGGGAAGGGAAGGAGGCACTAATGCTGCCTCATAACATCAGCCTTGCAGAGCTCAGATCTGACCCGACACCTCCCTGCTCAACGAGTTTCAGTCTCCCCCTGTTGCCTCGAGAATAAAATAAAGATCCCTGTCTCTGGCATTCAAAGCACTTCACAAATTGGCTCCAGCCCACTTTTTCACATTGCTCTACTTCATATCCTAGCCCAAATGGCTGACTTGCTGGTCTTATACGTGGCATTTAATCTCCCACCTCAGTGCCTTTTCTCAGGCTGTCCTGAATGTGTGGAACACTCCTTTTCCCTCTCCTCAATGTCCCCTCTCCCTCCTCCCTTCTCTCCCACTCCCCCTCTTCCCCACATCACTTCTCCCTCTCCCCCTACTCCCCTTTTCCCCACTCTCCCTCTCCTCCTCTCCTCCAACCTTCCCTCTCCCCCTCTCCCCTCCCCCACTCCCCTTCTTCCCCTCCCCTCCCCCCCACTCCACCTCTCCCCTACTTTCCCTCTCCCCTCCCCCTACTCCCCCACCTCCCCTACATGTCTTAGAATCCCTAGCTTCCTTCAAGGTTAAGGTTAAACCTAAGTACCACTTCCTACATTAAATATTTCCTGGTCCACTAGTTACGATTATCCTCCTCTTCCCCAAATACCTTTGTATTTACTTTGTATGAGGATTTATCTCTTATAGAAGTCATTCCCCAGCCCCATTCCAGTAGAATATAAGCTCCCTGAAGGCAGACTTTTTTTTTCCATCTTTGTATCCCAAGTACCCAATACAAGGCACATAACAAATGCTTAATAAATGTCCATAGAATGAATGAGTGAATGACATTCCTTTTCCCCACAGTGATCATGCTAACACATTGGTGCAAGGGTCAGAGACCCCTTCTGTATCTTTGGTAAGATTAGACTGGGGAGAAGAGGGCTGTACACTAAGTGCCACCTTAAAATTTTGGGGCTCCCTATGATGGGGATCTTGGAGTTTGTTGAGTCTTACTATAGATAGGAATAAAGGATCTCCCTCTTCCCCCTCTCTAAAAATACCCATCAGCACCACAACCTGCACAAGGCAAGCAGTCTATTGACAGGGGTCCTTTTCTAAGGTGGCTTGGCTGGTCCCTGTAAGAGATAGCTGGGCTCAGCGTCATCTCACCACTCCCAAGGTTAAGGAAGGCCCTCAGACTCCACCTACCTCCACTGGACAGGTAGCTGGCCAGCCCCTGGTAAGTCATGTACATCTTTGCTGGGGTGGTTGGGTCAGGGACTGTGTACTGTGCCGCCATGTCTGCACAGATCATCCAGTACCTGGGAAAAGGAGTGGAGACCTTGGGTGCAGTCTGCAACTAGAGCCATGTCGTCAGTCAACCAACAAGCAAGGACAGAGGTATCCTTGAATGCTGAGTGAGGAACAGAGTAAGGGAGGAAATGAGGCCTTACCCTCAGGGAGCTCCTAGTCTTGGCAGGGGATGGAAGAGGAGTGAGGGATGGAGACAAGACACATACATGGAGCAGAGAACTAGGTGGACTGCAAGTAATTAAGGATTAATGTGTGGGCTTTAGACTCTTACATGCTGTAGGGACTCAAAGAGGGAAATGATCCCTGGGGGCTGGAGTAATCAGAGAAGGCTTCCTAGAGGAAGAGGAGTAGGACTTAACATGATGTGGTGGCATGTTTTGGTTGGGATCTGTAATTTCATTGGTATATAGAGCTCCGAAGCTCTTCAGCTGGTTGTCCTTTTGGGTAAGACCCTGCTAAGCCTCAGTTTTTCTATCTGTAAAGTGAGGGGGTTGGATCAGACTTAACATTCCATAAGCTATGACCTGGAAACTCTCCTAGCTCTGATGATTTTCTGCTCTGTGTTCTAAGATCTTTCTCAGCTTGATCCTGAGCTGTAACAGAGATGCTTGTACTCACTCAAGGCACTAGGCCCCGGTTAAGCAAACAATGACTAGATGACCCTTCTCCCTGCCATGGCATCCCATAAACTGGAGGGTCTTGGAGACCATCTGGTCCAGTGTCCTCATTTTATACATGAGGAAACTGAGACTCACAGGTCAAAACTAGAATAATGAGTGCATGTTATAAAGTAGGAGGTTTAGGTCCGATGTAAGGAAAAACTTCCTGACACTTGGAGCTGTCCAAAAGTGAAATGGGCTGCCCAGCCGTCACTGGAAGTCTTCAAGTCAAGGCTGGATGACTCCTCCCTGATGTTGGAAAGGGGAATCTTTCCAGGGCTAGGTTAGATTAGCTGGTCTCTGAGGTCCCTAAGATCTGTGATTCTGTAAGTGATTTACCCAAAATCACACATTGAGTTTTCCATTCCCATTTCCATTCCACACATTTGAGATTTCCAAACTTTCATTTTAGGGCTTTGATTGGGAAAGTTGCCTATGGTCCTTCTGACCTAGGGATATGTGGAGTTGGGAAAGTGTGTTTAGAATGTCAGTGCCTGAGTGCCAAAGCCAGAACCCTTGGCCTTCACTCTTTCCTCCTCCCCACCACTCATTTACCCAAATAGCTTCACACGCCCCTGGGAGGAGGCTGTCATGGTGCCATCCATCCCAATGGTGTACTCTGCAGAGATGTTGTCCTGAAGAAAGAGGCCTTCGGGATCCTTCTTGGCCAGTGCATACCACTTCCCTGCATACTAGAAAGAAAGAGAAGCCAGGCATTAGCAAGGACCAGAGCCATTCCTGTTTGGCCCTAGATGAGTCTGCCTCCTATTCAGGACTTCTCATTCCATACATGGTTCTGGAGACCCAAAATTTTGTCCCCCAATCCCTGCTTTAAAATAAAGCCAGCTCTCACTAATTTTTATAAATGATAATAATTAGCAATGCTATAGGAAAAGTAGTTCATATATTCTCTCCAGTTTTCAGATGATGAAACTGCTCAGAAACGTTAAGTGAATGGCAATCACAGGACCCTACATTGACCTCTGGAAGGGAACTTGGAGATCATCCAGTCCAACCTTCTTTTCATTGTATAGGAAAAGAAACTGAGGCTCAAGAAAGGAAGAGGTTTTGCTGTCTTACAGGACAAACCAGAAAGGAGTCAGGACTGAGATTCCAGAGGACGGATGCTAAAGCATGCCACCTGTCTCCTGACAGAGCAGTGACATCACATACATTTTCAGATGTGGACAATGGGGGGCTTTGTTTTGCTTGACTATTTGTATTTGTTACAAGGGCTTTGTTTTTCTTTTTCCCTTTCTATTTGGAGGTTGAGGTAGAGGAGGTTAAAAAAAAAAAGGAAAAAGAAAAGCAAGAGGGTCGTTGAAGCATCTTGAAAAATAAACAAAAGAGAACAGATGGGATGCCAGAAGGAAACGCAGCTAAGCGGGACAGCTTTGAAAGTTACATATTGAATTTATTATAACTTAACAGGAAAAGTGAGCTACTTGTAATTGATATTGGCAGTCTCACATACAGTCCTCTTTTTCTGTTCTGCTTTGTATGGAGAAATGCTCATTTTATTTGGTGTTTGTTAAGTCTAGAATAACTTTTTAAAAATTGAAAAAAAAACACCCCAGTATGCAACAAAACAAAGAGGGGTTTTCATTCCTTGAAGGCAGGTGACATAACTATTAACTGTTGCTTGAAGCCTGGCATAGGGGGAGGAGTTCTGGGTTAAGAGTCAGTGGTAAAGTCTCACTCAACTCCATCACTGACTGGCTGTGTGATGCTGGGAAAATCCCATCTCCTCTCTAGGCCTCAGTTTCTCCATCTATAAATTGGGGGGGTGGAGGAATGGACCTGATAATCTGTTAGGTCCCTTCCACCTTTGGCTTCCTGGATTTCTGAATTATTCAAGTACCTCTATCCTTCAGCAGATCTCCTCAGTGCTCACAGCCAGCTCTGCCAACAGGTCCTAGGGCAGGGTCTCCCTGAGAGTGTCCGGGTAATATACTAATGATGACCACTAGCATTTATAGAGCACTTTAAGGTTGGCAAAGCACTTTACAAATGCTTTTTCATTTTTCCTTACAACTACCCTGAGAAGTAGGTGCTATTATTATCCCCATTTGAAAAATGGGGAAATAGAGGCAGAAGGAACTTATGTGACTTGCCCAGGGTTGCAAAACTAAGATGTGTCTAAGGCTGGATTTGAACTTGGGTCTTCCTGACTCTAGTTCTAGGGCTCATCTGCACCCCCTAAGTGCCAGTGAGTCTGTTACTGACTAAGCAAAAGTCATGGGGGGAAGGGATGTGGGGGCAGCTGGGATGGGCTTGTAGAGGAACCCCAGATGCCAGAATGACACTTACCCTCTTGGGGTCAAAGTCAGCCTTCACAGGGATGGAGTCCACAACACAGGTCTGGGCCAGGCCAAAGCTGGGCAGTGCCAGCAGTAGGCAGATGTGCCAAACAGATCTCATCCTGCACACGGGGGCCTGGGGAAAACAGAGCCTGCTGAGTGATTTGGTAACAGTAACTATAAATGGCGCTTCAAAGTTTATAAATGTATCTCCTCCAAACAACCCTGCAGAGTGGGTGGGGCCGGTGTTATTCATCCCATTTTAGAGAGGTAGACCCTGAGGTTCCAAAAGGAAAGTGACTTGCTTCCAACCCAAGGGACAGTAGTAAATGTCAGAGCCAGGATCTGAATCTGTGGTCTACTGACTCTAAGTCCATTCATGCCATAGGCTGGGAGTTCCAGGCACATGACAAGGAGAGCTAGACATTTTCTCCGATCCTCTCAAACCTCTCCAAAATAGAAATGACACACATGAAGATAAAGCCACCTCAGCTGCCTCCCTGATCTGGGGATAGTGGCGGCAGAAAAACCCATTCACAAGGGTCCCTGGGGGCAGAATGTTGACTTAGAAAAGTATGAACACAATTAATTATTATATTTAATAATTAGCATTAATAAATAATAAAATTATTAAACTAATAACACAAATGATTCGTGTTAACATAATGGTGCTAATGTTAACATATTAATATATTTACATTATCTGGGTGTATTTTTATTTATTTTGTTAACTATTTCCCAATGACATTTTAATCTGGTTCAGGACGGCTGCTGCTGCAATGCTTCCTTTGAGCACATATTTAACACTTCTGGTCTACGACATCCAGAATCAAAAAAAGGATAAAAACAAAGAAACAAGCAAACAAAAAACCCAGATCCATGAATGGACACCTACTCTGAGCTCCCTCAGTACCCCTCATCCACCTCTCACTCTACCAGCCCAGAGGCCGTCATAGGCATTGTCACCAAACCCAACCTCCATCCTCTCTCCCCCTGTCCTGTTCGGTGCAGATCCCAGCTCCGCTCCAGCCGTGACGGCCAGCCAGTGGTGCAGCAATGTTCCAGGACGTGAAAACCTGCTGTGTTCTGGGCTGCAAATGATTTGTGCAGGATATCGGAAAAATGGAGAGACAGGGGCAGGATATGTGTCTAGCCTTAAACTAGATGCCAACTCCACATCTCCTTGGCAAGCGTTTTGTTTGGGGATTTTGTTTTGTTTTGTTTTGTTTTTCTCAGTGGGGAAAGGTGGGTGGGATCAAGAGAAAATGGATTTTTGTTCATTGAAAAAATTAAATTGAGTATCCTGGAGTTCACTGAGTGTAAAAGTGACCTGGTCATTCTCTGGGACTGTTTTCTCATCTTTAAGCTCACTTCTAGTTCCGAATCCCCCAATCCCATATCTTCACTGCAAATCGTGTCCTTTTCACAATGCTAGGCTGCAACCCCTGGCAGCTCTGAAGCACCCCCTGGCAGCAGAGGGAGAGGGGAAAGAGGAAGGGAGCATGCATTTATTAAGTGTCTACTGTGTGCCAAGCACTGTGCTAAGTTTTCACAAAAATGATCTCATTTGAGAGGATGCTTCCTGCCCTGCGCCTGGATTCAGACAGGCAGTACTTCCCTCCACCCCAATCCCTGGAAAAATGAAGTGAACTATCCCCAACCAGTAATTCTCCCACCCCCTCCCCAAAAGGAGGCTTTCTCTCCTCCCAACCCTCCACAGTCTCTCATTCTTAACTGGGAGAACCGTCCTCCCTTTCCTTTGGGCTTTCTATGTCTGGGAAACCAGAAGCGGCAGAGTCTCTATATCTGATACCAATAACCCAAGCTCAGCTCCCTCTGACTTGCTGAAACTACTCTAATCTTCTGTCTAGTCTCCCTGATAGGCAGCCATCCAGCCAGTGCTTGGAGCTCTCTAGTGATGGGGAGTTTACCATCTCCTGAGCTGGCCCATCCCCTGGCCAGGCAGCTCTCACTATTATGACATTTTGTCTTTTGTCTGACCCAAACCCGCATTTCTGCAACTCTTATCCCTTCCAGTTCCATCATCATGGGTTCTATGCTCTTTAAGAAGATCTCAGGTTCAATGGGTCTGTCATCCATGGACTGAGGCCCTCCTTACCTGGTGCTGGTGTCTCTTGGCTTCAAACTCCAGGACTTATCTTGCTCTGCCTGACCTTTCAGCCCCTTAAATACTATGAAGCGGCCAGTCACTAATCGCCCTATTCCCCCTGGGGCCGAGTCGGACAATCCAAGGTAATCTAATTTTAGGCTGGATTAATAGAGGTATAATGTCTAGAACAAAGAAGGGGACAGTCCCATCATCCTCTGCCTTGATCAGACCAAAAAAAAAAAAAAAGAGTCTCAGTCTGCCCTCTGAGTCTATCAGGAGACAGGTGCATGTTTCACCATCGCTCCTCTGGAATCATGGTTGGTCATCATGTTGATCAGAGTTCTTAAATCTTTCAAAGTCTTTTATCTTTACAACATTGTTATTGTATAAATTGTTCTCCTGGATCTGTTTACTCTGCATCAGTTCATACAAGTCTCTTATAGCACAAAGTATTCCACTGAATTTACATACCATAGTTTGTTCCAGTCATTCCCCAATAGACAGGTGGGGGCACAGTTTAAGAAAACAGTTTTGTCAAACAACTTTGAAAGACTTAAGAACTCCAACCCAGAAGACAGATGATAAAGAATTATACCCACTTGCTGACAGAAATGTGATAGATTCAGATGCAGAATGAAATATATATGTATTTTTTGGACAGGGTCAATAGGAGATTTAGTTTTACTTGACCATGAATATTTGTCACATTTTTCTTTTTCTTTCTTTCTTTCTTTCTTTCTTTCTTTCTTTCTTTCTTTCTTTCTTTCTTTCTTTC